CGGTGGCCCCGGTCCACCCTGCAGCCCGGCAGGAGGTACGTGGCCTGCGTCCGGCCACAGGGCGAGCCGCCCCAGCGCGACCAGTGCGTCACCTTTGCCACCCGCAGGGCCGCAGGCGGAGGCCACTCCCACGGGCCGCTAGTCGCGGCTGTCACCTGCGCGGCCTGCGTGGCCGTCCTGGCGCCGCTGGGCTTCCTGCTGTACAGAGCCCGCAAACTGCGGTGCAAGCGCGCGTCTTTCTGGGAAGAGGATCTGGCCAAAGAGACCTATATCCAATTTGAGACCCTGTCCCCGAGGTCTCAGAGTGTGGGGGAGCTGTGGACGCGGAGGCACAGGGGTGACTCGGAGACACTGCTGCTCTGCTCCTCCAGTGCAGAGCTCAGGCAGCTTTAGGGGCAGGAGGCCCGTTGGGACCACCGAGGCCGGCGACTGGCGCGCTTCTGAATGCTTTTAAAACTGCTGAGAGGCTTCTGAGCCAGAAAGGCAAATTAAGTGACTTCTGTGGTGTGGAGGGAATCCACAGAGAGAAATTTTAGGATGGTGCTTAATATAGTAATAATTTTTAGGATAATGTTTTGGTTCTTTAAAATAGCGTGGGGGTCAGCAGACGCATAGTGGTTACCTCGCTGGGCTCCCACGTGGCCAGCTGCGGTCGGAGTCTCCAGCTCCGAGACTTGAAACCTGGGAGGACGATGGCAGGGGAGGGGTAGCAGCGCGACCATCCCCTCCAGGGAATGATTATCACTTCCCCTCTCAGTCTCTCTCTCCAGCAAGCTGCACACAGCGAGTGCAAGCACGTGCCCTAAGGAAAAAACTTCTTTTAAGAAAATGAATGTAAACATAGTTTTAACAAGTGAACCCTGCATTTAAAAAGACATTTTTTTCGAGCAGTGAAGAAGGAGTCAACCAAGCCTGGACATCCCAGTCCGAAATGCTTACGGTGTTCGCTGTGAACACCCAGCGTGGCTGGCGGGGGAGCAGGAGCGTTCAGAAAGTGGCGTTCATGGAGACTGCGTCACGGGGTCAGAGGGAGCAGGCTGTCATTCGTCACAGCCGAGAACCGGCCCACGCAGCCAGGGGCATCTCCCCGCTCAGGAAAAAAGTGTTCGCCAAAATAAGTGTGAAGAGGACTGTGGCGAATTCGGCCACTTCTAAGAAAGTGGGACTAGTACATTTTTTTAAAAAAGAATTATTTTATTTATTTATTTGTTTGTTTTAATTTGACCAGAGAGGGACAGTGAGAGAGAGGGAAACTGAGAAAACAAGCCACCAGTTCCAGGACTCGAACTGCAGTCGGCCGCATGGGAGTCCAGTGCCCTTAACCTCCACGCCACCTGCCAGCCCTGGGACTGTTGTAGTTTACACACGTTACCAGACTCTGCGCTTCTTTTAAAATGTGTTACTTATCGAACAGCCTCTTCGGGGTCTCGACACTCGCTCGCTCCTGCCTCCTCCCTCCCTCCCTTCCGTGGCCACCTCCTTCCTCCATGTTCCCTCTCTGCCTCCCGGGCGACTCGGGCAGCCCACGGGCCGCGGCCAGCCTGCTTGTCTTCCGATGCTTTGGATGAAGAGAAGGCCTTCGAAGTTACGGACTGCCCTCTGAAAGTGTTTTTTATTATTTTAAAAAATAGTCATTTATTTAATTTTATTTATCATTATGATTTTAAAATGTGTTACAGGGCTTGTGTGCTCATGAGAGAGAGAAAAGAGAGAGAGAGAGAGAGAGAGAGAGAGAGAGAGAGATAGGGAAAAAGCCAGCTGCCAGGTCCAGGACTCAAACCACGGCTCTGCAAGTGCGAGTCCGGCACCTTAACCACCATGACACCTGTTGGCCCTCTGAAAGTGTTTTTTAGATTCCAAAAGGATATTTTAGGATTTTGAAAGAGAAGCTTCAATAGATTTATTTGATTAAACACTTTTTCCAGGTTAGAAACGTTTGGGAAATTGAATTGGAGTAGCAGTCCGCGTGGAGGTGTAGAAAAGGGGCCTCCTAAATAAAATCGAAGTTTCTTACAGAGAAGTTTCTATAACTGCACGTCTGCTGAAAGAGGTGTCATGGCTTCAAGGTGAATGTGAGCCACAAGGCCCGCCCAGCGCCTGGGGGTGACGCCACCCGGCCCAGGGCCTTCCTGGGAACAAGGCGGCAGGCGCAGACCCGTGGCCCACACAGCTCACAGCGAAGCGCTGACATCCCCCTGCGAGGCTGTCACGGGCATCTTTGCCCTGTGGTCTGGGGCCACTGCACTGCCTGTCCTGGACATGCTGGGGCCTCCGATGCCCTCGGGAGCCATCTGGGATGGGCAGGACCTAATCGGGTTTGGGCCTCCATGATCGGGCAGGGGTCTGCCTCATCTCAGGCCCCCAGACCTGCTGCAGGGCTCCACTCCCTCCCGGCCTGCATGGCTGTGTGGTTAGCAGGGCCCTTTGTGGAGTCCCCACACTCCCCCTGCCCCAGCGTGCGGCCCCTAGGCCCCGGTGCCTGCTGCCCTGTCACTGCACCAGGTGGCATGTCCCATGTCCAAACTGGTTTCTTCAGAGCTGCTTGCCGATCCCTGGGTCCTCAGGTCCCACCACGAGGCGCTTCAGCTGCCACTGAGGAGCCGCCAGCCCCCCAGGCTCCGAGTGTGGCTCTGCCTCCTGCAGTCTGTCCCCTCTCCTGTGGCATTAGTACGTCTGCCCCAGGGCCAGCTGACCCCTCGGTATCTCCCAGCACTGCCGACGCGCTATACCCCCTCAGCCAGGTTGTGAGGAAGCGGCTGACACTGTTCCCATTGCTGGGTGCCCCTCCAGGACAGCCTGTGCTGACCGGGAGCCCCCCAACCACGGCGGCCTGGCCTCCTGCCCTGAGGTGCTCCTCTACCCACCATGCACGCTCACCCGACCCCTCGGTTCCCTCTCCTGTGCCCTGGCATGACTGGACACCCTGCTCTTTCTGGACCTTCACCCACTGCTCCTTTCAAATGCCACAGGCCACAGTGGGAGCACCCAGCGGCCGTCGTATGAAACCACGCTGTCCATGTGCAGAGTCGGGAGGAAGGCTAGGTTTCTAGACCCAGGAAGGAGCCCGAGATACCCTGAGAGCGGGTGCTGAGACAGACGGCTGTACTCTGCTTCCTGAGACGACGGCTGGGGGGCGGGCAGCCGCGCAGAGCCCGGTGGCGTCTGGGCCCTCCTGCCCTCCCTCCCCATGGCTGTCCTCGCGTGTCCTCGCTCCGGGCAGTCTAATGATCTAATGGCCCTCAGCTCAGTGTCCATGCTCAGGCCTGTAAGGTACCTTCCCACGGGCCAGCCGCGGTGGCACAGCGGCCACCAGGGCCCGGGGGTGCTGAGCCTGCCGTGCATGCGGTCTGGGCCTGTGCCTGCCAGTGAGACTCTGTGAGGGCGACCTCTATGTCAATAAATACTATTATTATTTTTTAATTTGACCAGAGAGAGAGAGGGAAAGTGAGAAAGCAAGCCACCATGTCTGGGGCTTGAACCATGGCTGACCCCGTGGGAGTCCAGCACCTCAACCACCACACCATCTGCTGGCCCCAAGAAATGCATTTAAAAATACCTTTCACAGACAATTTTGTATTTAGCTTCAACTTAAGTCAGACCTGCTGATTTGAGTTCAAGGGTTGTAAAACCTGCGTTCTTTCCTGTTACAGATGTCATGCAATTTCATGGTCATGTGGTTTTCTTTTTCTTTTTTTTTTAGGTTTTTGCCTACGGCATGTGCTTGCTGGAGAGAGAGAGACGAAAGAGGGAAAGTGAGAAGTCCTGCTGGGGCGGATGGCTGTGCTCCATTTGGGATTTGGAGAATGCCTACACATGTGCCCAGCATGCTTTTCCACCCACCAGGTCTGGGACTCGAACTATGGTCAATCGCATGAGAATCCAGCTCCTTATGCACCATGCCACCTGCTGGCCCATTGCCATGTGTTTAAAAGGCTGGTGGAAGTGGCTCGGAACTGGAGCCACATTAGCCATGGAGATGGCCAAGGCGGTCAGGGCTGCAGCCCCAGGCAGACCCGAGGTCACCCACACTCGGGCAGGGCTGTGGAGGAAGGAGTGCGGGCCACTCTAAAGACGGACTCCAGACTCCCCTCAGCTTCCCGCGAAGCCTGCCTTCTGAGAGAGAGAGAGAGAGAGAGAGAGAGAGAGAGAGAGAGAGAGAAAGAGAGAAAACAACGCGCGAGACTCTAACCGTGGTCAGCTATGTGGGAGTCCAGTACCTAACCACCATACCACCTGCTGGCCCCCTGTTTTAGAAGTTTTTGCCATGGGATGTGTGAGCTTGCGAGAGAGAGAGAGAGAGAGAGAGAGAGAGAGGAAGTAAGAAATCGCCCCCCAGGGGGATGGCCACACTGTGATCCCTTCTCCTTTGTTCTCGTCCTGGGATCTTGTGTGTGCGTGCACACGTGGCCAATGTGATTTTCAAGCCAGCAGATCCGGGACTCGAATCACAGTTGGCCATGCGGGACTCCAGCGACGTAACCCCTATGCCATCTGTTGGCTCCCAGATTGTACTCTTAAGGTCTGTTCATGTTATGCAAATCTTCCTTCACTAAAAATAAAAAATAAATACATGTCAATTGGAATTTAGGCTGGGAAAACCCAGTGAAAGCAGTTAAATTTATTTTGTTCCTCTGCTATTGGAAAATTTTAAAATGTATCACTCACTTAAATGTTCTCTTTCTGTCTTTTATACATTTTTCTAACTTTCAGTGGCAAAGCATGGTTATTTTCACCCAAATTAGTTTCGTCTTTGGAGATAGAAGAAAGGATTAAGGGGCCTGAGCTCTGCTTTATCAAGGCCGTAGGAGTGGACGGAGCCCTGCAGACAATGGCTGGACCCCGTCAGTCCCGGCCAGCAGGGCTTGGTGTCCCAGTAGTGCCAGCGCTCTGGTAGCCAGAGGAGCTGTGCGTCCTTCAGATTGCGCCCGGAAGGTCACGGGATGGCGGTACTAGGCAAGGCAGCCAGAGATCTTCCCCAGACTTTGCCTCTCCGTTCCTCCGCTCCTCCTTCCTCCCTTTTCCCATGAGCTGCTATAGGTCTTGGCGCCTCCACCACCTCCAGCCTTCTGCCAGCCCAGGTCCCAGACAAGCACATGCTCTACACCCAGGGAGTCTCTGGACTTGAACTGGGAACCTTCCTGTTCTGGGCAGACTAAGTCCGGCTGCTGCTTTTCCTGGTCAATGAAACAAAAGGCAGAGGCTGGAGAAGAAGGGGGTTCTTTCTTCTTCTTCTTCTTCTTTTTATTTCACCCTGGAGAGACAGACAGACAGAAAGTAAGAGATCAGCCCCCAGATGGGACGGCTGTGCCGCATTCCCTTCTCCTCTGTTCTCCTCTCGGGATTTTGGGCATGTATGCTCATGTGCCGTGTGAGGTTTAAGCCACTGGGTCTGGGACTCGACCTGCAGTCGACTACGTGGGAGTCCAGTGATGCGACCACCATGCCACCTGCCGGTCCTGAAGGGAGTTCATCTCCACGGCTGGGTACCGGTAGGCAGCACGCACCAGCGCTGTCTCCGGGCACTCCCACGGCTCAGTGTTTAGCGATGCGGATCCAGGCAGGCGCGATCGCTCCTCACGGCTGTCGCTCGGAGTTCATTACTTTGCCTTTCAGATGCGCACTCCTGGTTTCTCATCTGACTCGGCCCTGGGTCACATGGTCCCTGTCACGGACCCTTCTTGATTTTGAGTGGCGTCGTCCCGCCGAAGCACATGCAGGCTGCGTCGTTCCCCGGCAGGACTGCCCTGCGGAGCGTCGCCTTTGACCACACACCAACGCCGCCCAGCTTTGGCAATTTTAGAAGTTAAATTCTTGGAGAATGAGGAAGGAGGCATGTGAGACTGTGTAAGTCAATGCGATGCATTTCCAGTGAGCATTTCCGTTTCCGATGTGAAATGTCGGCGCTGCTTGGCAGAATTACGAAGGACGTGTTAGGGACGTCATGCCCCTTCTCCTGAGGCCCCATCCTGGACGTGTTTCTCCGCCTGGCCTGAGGGCGCTTGCTGGGTGAGTCGGGTAGGCTTAGCTGGGGATGCGCGGGCAGGCTCTTCCGCAGTGCTCCTGTCTTCCAGACGCTCCAGGGCCTGACTTCGCGAGGCGGAAGCATGGCACCGATTTATCTGTGCAATGTTAATTAGATCGTAACCTCCTCCCCCTTCTTAAAGAATAGACTACCTTGGGGGGGGGAGTTTAAAGTATACAGAAAAAGCACAGCAAATTCCCACCCCAGGATGCTA